AAATACCTAGAGAGGTTTTGAAAAAGTTGGATTATTTTATATCATGATTTTTTTGGCAGAGTGATGAACACAAGAAAAAATATAGATTGACGAAGTGGGAGTTAGTATGTATACCGAAAGACCAAGGAGGGTTGGGTGTTCTAAATTTAAATGTTCACAATAAGTGTCTCCTAAGCAAATGGCTGTTTAAATTAATAAATGGAGGCAGGGTTTGGCAACAATTGCTTAGGAATAAATATTTAAGGGACAAAACTTTGACACAGGTTCAATACATGCCCGAGGACTCAATTTTGGGCGGGCCTCATGAAGGTCAAGGGGGAGTTCCTCTCGATGGGTAAGTTTGATCTAGGTGACGGGTCTCAAGTGCGTTTTTGGGGGGATTCGTGGATAAATCCGTGCCCATTAAAATTGCTCTTCCCTGCACTATATAACATTGTGAGGAGAAAAAGTGCATCTGAAAGGTCAGTGTTGTCTACGACACCGTTAAATGTAGCTTTCAGGAGATCTCTGATGTATGCTAATTTGCAAGCGTGGCACGATGTGGCGGCTATGGTTGCAGATGTACACCTAACAAACCAGAGAGATCGGTTTGTGTGGGGGCTACATCAGAATGAGTTATTTTCAGCCAACTCTATGTACATAGCTTTGTTAGGAGCAAAAGCTATATCGTATAACACTTTAATCTGGAAACTTAAACTACCTCTCAAAATCAAAGTCTTTATGTGGTACTTGTACGAGGGAGTAATTTTAACAAAGGATAATTTAGCGAGGCGGCAGTGGCAAGAAGATAGGAAGTGTTGTTTCTATTCTTCAAACGAGTCCATACAATATTTACTCTTTGACTGTCATTATGCTAAATTCATATGGAGAATTGTTCATGTTTCCTTTAATCTAATACCTCCAACTAGTATACACAATTTGTTTACTGGTTGATTGGAAAGGATAAATAGGAAACTGAAATCTCAAATTTTTATGGGTGCAAGTGTCATTTGTTGGGCGATTTGGTTAACTCGGAATGACATTGTGTTTGACAAGATACTAGCTGAAAGGACCTAGGATGCCGCCTAGAGGGAGGGTGAATATGTGTTTCTGGAAATTAACACCTTTAAATACGGAAATAATTAGTAAAGGGAGTTTCCAAAATAGAAACTCTAAATCAAAGTAATACCACCCCTCACATGTTAGCCATAGAGTATGTAAAAGATACTAAATAAATCTATGAGCCTAGAACCTACAACACAAGAGTTAGAACATGGATCAAATAAATTCAGCACTGAGTCCTAATACCGGACGTGTCCGGTAGGTATCTGATATACACGTGTTCTGCAGAACAACCTGGCATAGTAATCAATACCGGACGTGTCCGGTAGGTACACGATTCCAGTGGAACAGCCCCAAATTTGCTCATTTCGATTTATATCTTCAAACCAAATTGTAGGTACCTACTAGAGATGATAAGATACACAGAGAACCTACACAAGAGCAAGAGCAACACAAATATCAAATAAAATGTGAATTGAGACATGATATTTGTTTTACTAAAGTTCAGACTCGTTTGAGTCCTACTCTCCGTTAAGAGGGCTACGGGCGACCCAGCGAATGTCAGCCCTAAAGGGTATCATGAAGGTCACTCTAGCCGGAGTTTTTTCTAACTCATTTTCCTCTTTCCACTAGTTGATTCCGAGGCGGCGGAATCGACCGTTACAAACTTTTCGAGGCACACCACAATCTCTCGGGTGCTCTTCGGCGATGCCTAGCCATCTAGGACTAAAGAGTCCAAGAGTAACAAATGCAAATCACGAGATTGACAATATGCACAAGTGCTCAAGTGGTTGGGTTGCTCTCTTTTGAATTTCTCTCAACCCACTAATGGATTTGGCAATTTGGATCACTTACTCACTAAGAGAGGGTTGGAGAGTGTTTGCAAGGCTCAAAAACATGTATGTGTATCAGCAGAATCAGCAGCCTCCAAAGATAGAGGCTTGGGGGTATTTATAGCCCCCTTGGAAAAACTAGCTGTTTTATAGCCGTTGCCATACCAGACACGTGCATACTTACACTGCGCCAAAGGTAATTGAGTTACAGTGTCGTTGTGAGGCGTCGGAACTCCCGATGAATGCTGGAACTTCCAACCGTCGGAACTCTCGACTCACGTCGGAACTCTCGACCCTCAGCACATTTGAAAACTACGGTAACTGAGTTTAAAGTATGTGAGGTGTCGGAACTCCCGACGCATGCTGGAACTCCCGACCATTGGAACTCCCGACCCTCAAGGCATTTGAAAACTAGCCGTTGGCCTCTGACCGTCCATACCGGACGAACTTCTCCAAATCAGTTAAACGCGAGACGTCGGAACTTCTGATGATTGCCGGAACTCCCGACTCACGTCGGAACTCCCAACGAACCAAACTGAGAACAACAAGTATTTTACCGTGGCTGGGCAAATACCGGACACGTCCGGTATTGCCATACCAGAAAAAAAACAGTTAGCTTTTTTATCTCTCAAACACTCAAAACTCACATAGGTTGGTATGAGCACTTATAAATAATTATCTATCAACATGATGCATCACTCTTAATAATACGGCATACCTATTAAACTCAAGATAAAAGGAAAAACGAATTTATACCGCTTGAGTTGATCTCTTTTGAATTTATGTTGTGTCTCTCAATCTTCATCAAATGAGGGTGCCAACATGTCGATATTGATCTTTTTACTTGAGCATAGCCATCTTGAGCACGTGACTTGATTCCATTCATCAAATATGAATAATCCCAAATGTATCAAGTCACTTCCATCAAACACTTCAATAGTGATTTGATCCTCCACGTCAACATGACCATTATAGCTTGATTAGTACCTCAACTAAATGCAAATATTTTCTTTTTCATCCTAGCTAGGTTCTTCGGCCGTCAAGCCGTCGCTAGCCCTTCACCCTTACTTAGTACATCGAAGCCTTTCCTTGCTATCTTCACCATCTCAAGCCATCAAGTCACATCTTGTGTTGAATTATCCATTTGTACTGTTATCCAAGTCACATCTTGTGTTGAATTATCCATTTGTATTGTTATCCAAGTCACATCTTGTGTTGAATTATCCATTTGTATTGTTATCCTTTTTTATTTCAATTTAGCAAGCTTCAAAATATGAGACTATTCTATATACAATCCCTCATGTCTCATTAATTAATTCTTACCGTACTTGCTTTCACATAATACATGAAAATCCCACAATAAATAAGCCTTTGCATGAATTCCATTTGCATTGTTGTCTTGTGCTTGAACAAGATCATTTATACAACAACACATCATTTTGGTTTTCATTAAGTACCTGTAAGATAACCTATTTCCTGTTCACACTTAGCAAACGGGTTAGACCTTTAATCACGTTGTCATTCAATCATCCAAAACCCACTAAAGGGCTAGATGCACTTTCACTAGCACCATCTTATTTGTAGGTTATCTTCAGGGGGACTTACTGTACCAGGTCCTGGTCGTGGTCCCTACTACAGAAGGAGGAGGATCTCCATTTGATGAAGATGGGATGTAGGACTATTGAGACAGTTGTGATGGAAGTGTTTGCAAGAAGGTTAGAGATTTAGCAAGAGACTTGCTTTTAGTTGTACTTTTTGGAAACATTTTTTGTTGTCACTATGGCTCGAATAGCCATATGCATTTATCGATATAATATAATCTCTTTTCAAAAAAAAACGTGCTTTCAAATAGTTAGTCCCTCTATTCCAAATTGTCACTTTTTTACATCTAGGTGGATCAGCATGCTTGCTGCCCTCAATCACGCACGCCCGGATTACCTCCTGCTCCTCCTCCTCCAGCTGATCCTCCATCGGCTCGTCCTCCATCTTCCTCTTGCGGACGTACGGAGGAACGGCCGTCTCCATCTCCTCCTCCTCCATTGTGGAGTCCGGTCGCCGGTAATCAATCTCGCCTCCGGCGTTGCCGCCCTGCATCGAATCAATTCGACTCAAGTCCGGACCGTAGTCGCCGTTGCCGTTGCCTCCGGCCTCCGGGTTTTTGGGTAGGTTGTTATTAAGGCGGATATTTTTCGGCCCCCTTTCGAATCCCCTCTTTCTGATCTACCCGCATTAGATTAGGACTCGAAGGGACAGAACTGCACAGATAAGAGAGATTGCGGGTGGGGGCGGAGGCGGATTCGAGGTCGCCTCATCGATCAAGTGAACCGTGGCTCCTGCTAGAGGTCCAGTGGTACCAAAAGTGCAGAACACATGAAGCAGGCCAATAGGGACGGACTGCCAGGAACTCTGCTTCTATGGAACTCTGTAATAACAATGCTTTCTTTAGAACTCTGTAGTAACAATGCTTACTGTATTCTTATGCAGTTCAAGATAAGACTTTCAGTCCCGTACTAACACAACTGCACAGATAAGACTTAGGCCTGGTTTAGTTTTTCTCTTTAAAGTTTACTTCCTATCACATCGGATGTTTGATACATGCATGTAGTATTAAATATAGACTAAAAAAATAACTAATTGCTACTAATTTGCGAGACGGATTTTTTAAACCTAATTAGTCCATGATTTGACAATGTGGTGCTGCAGTAAATATATGCTAATGCCGGATTAATTAGGCTTAATAAATTCGTCTCGCATGTTACTGACGGATTCTGTAATTTATTTTTTTATTAGTATTCGAACACCCCATACAACACTTCCACGTGACACCCGATGTGACATCCCTAAACTTTACTCCATAGATTTAAACACCATCTTACTGTACAGATCGTGTTCTCTCGAAAAGCAAAACCTGTTTAACTGTTTACCAGTTACAGCTTTTCTAGTTTCAAAAAAAAGTTGCAGCTTTTTTTAACCGCTATTGGAACAATCAACAAAACACTATGAACAGGAATAATCGGTCGTCTCCACCTGTACATATTCTGCACACCAAAGAAAATATATAAAACCAAAAACTAAACCACGCTGGCCTTGCTGAAGCAATCTGTAGAAACACTTTTGGCACACGCCCTAGCAGAGGATGGAGCGGGCGTCGATCACTGACTGCGGTGGATCCAGGTCCTTGTCCTGCAGGGCGTTGCCCAGCAGCTTTTGCATCTCTGATGCAAAGACATCGTCAAGGATCTGCATGTACAATTGTCAGGGTTAGCAGTTCGCGATGGTCATTCATGCTGCTCAATTCCATTTTTCATGATATATATAGCCCCAACTCAACCAATGTTCATTTATTGGCATTGCTAGTGCTAATATAAGTCGAGGCTTACCCCTAGAGCATAATCAGACCCGCGGTACCAAATCCTGTTCTCCTTTCTGCTCTCCAGAAATCTCAACACGATCTGCTCAAAAAATAGTTTGACATATAAGGATTCACAGCAAAAGGAAATATTCAGAGTACTTATGTTGTTGGAACATTTATTTATTACCTGGCCTAACCGATCCCAGAAACCTCGGCAAATAGCAACAAATATTCTGCTGGAGAAGACCTCATGTAGATTGTGAATGGAATCTGAGAGCTGAAGGCGGACAGCCTGCATCCGATCTCGTATATCACTTTCACCATCAGCCTCTCTTGTTTCTTCAAGAATTCGCTTGAGCCTCGTATTCCGGTTGGCTTGTGCCTGAAAAATATCAAAGAAAAACTATGAGCGCTGTCTATATGCAAATTGCCTTAGTTAGCTGTGGAGTCTGGACCAAGAGTGGAACTTGTTATAAAGCGTGCCAAAATCATTCTTACATTGCTGACAAGCTTATCCACTATGGCTTGCAGGTATTTCTTGTACTTCTTCTTCAGCATGACTGTGATGGAGTTCATTTGCTCTCCAAAAACAGTGTTCCCACTTGATATAGTAAGGTACGCTCCCCATGACTTGAGAATGTCTTCGACTCGGCAGTGTAATACATCTAGCATCCTTTTTACTGTGTTCATGAATGCTCCTAACTGTGATTAAGAACAGCAAACTGGTCAGGTAACGAACTAACCACCACATCAGGCTCCATAGTATCTTGCACGCATATCTACCTGATTTGGCACAACATAGGGAGCTATAGATTGTCTTCTTGTTAATCTCTGGACCTGCTTCTCAATTTTTTCTGGTATGCCGTCTCTTAGAGGCATCAAAAGCTCCATGTATTGCTTCTCCAGTGCCTTCATAATTTCTCTCTCAACATCAGCAACAGCCTGAATAATAAAATAAATATAAATTGACTCCACTGTAGGAGAAATATGAGGTCTGGTTCAAAGAATGCAGGTGTGTACATACACTCTCTAAACTCATCAGATATTGGGGCCACCTATTGATAACCACTCCATACTCATTTATGCTCTCTTTTATTTGCTCATACATTTGCTCAACAAATGGTGAGATTGTTGACACTGCAGGGCATGATATCTGCAAAGAAAGGTGAGTGAAATCAATTAAGTTCAACTACTAAAGGTCAGCCATATGATCTATATTTCTTGCCTTGTACTACCTCCGTTTCACAAGTCAAACTTCTCTAGCTTTTGACCAAGTTTACAGCAAAATATGTTAACATCTACAAGACATTTCATGTTAGATTTTTTTTGAGTAATCAGGAGGGGCAAGAAGCCCCTACCATTTCATGGTAGATTTAACAAAACTAATTTGATGTTGTATATGTTGGTGAATTTCTATAAACTAGATCAAATTTAGAGAAGTTTGATTTGACAAACTAAAACAACCTAAATTTTGGAAGGGAGGAAGTATGTGTTTATAGTTACCTTCTCAACTTTGCAGTTATCAAGTAACTGCAATCGAGTGTCTTCAATCCACACCATGATGTAGTCATGAAACAGCTGTCTCGAAATTACACCGCCATGAACAGGTCTACAACAATTGTGTGAACAGAACAAAAATGTATCAGCTAAACATGGCTGGTATTGCATAACTCATGTTCCAAAAAGGGATATCTTACCTCACTTGCCAAGATTCAAGATCTCTCTCAAACTCATAAGTTGCGATTATCAGTTCAGCAACATGTTGTACTGGTCTTGATGGGGGACTTGAAGAAAGAAAACCTTTCAGCCGCTTGCATAGTTCGGTACTATATAGGGATGCTGCTATATTTGGCAGATCTATGGAACTAAAAGAAAACACAAATTTGTGAGAGAAGTTCAACGTGTGGATAAATAGAAGAAAATCCTATTACTTGGAAGCATATATGCTACCTTGGAAGTATATTCTGATTGTGAATCTTAATGTCTGCTTGAATTTCGTGACTTATGTTAATGCACAGTGTCTTCATTTTAAGATATGCAGCAGATATAGTCATAGGGTCTGTAAGAAGGCTGTCGTTATTGCTTGATAAGAATTCATCTGTCTCGATCATATGCCTCCTGCACCTTTTTGCAGCAGCAGTCTGTAAAAGAGTTTCTTTATGTTATTGCCTTTGAAAAGGAATCAACGGAAAACAATGACTACATCATAGATTTTTTTCTGTTGACTGTAATTTTGCACCATAATAAGTAAATAATACATCAGTGTAGTCTTCTAATTGGACTAAATATATCTATTCTGACAAGGATCGATAGGATAATTTCAAATGACCATACGTGTAAAACCATAAATGCTATATGCTACATTGCACCCCCCCTCATCTAATCTAACTTTATGGGAAATTACAGCATTATGTTTAAATGTTCACATAATGTAGTTTCATAATGATCTATCACATGTTACTGATCATAGATAAAGTTGTTTTAGATTCATTGTTCGAACTCTGCACTATGCATTATGCTTAAACACTCACATAATCTGATCTATCACATGTTACTGATCATTGCTGAAAATGGCATTGAAACGGAAAATGCTCAAAACAAGTGTCTGTGATGTCTGACCTGCAAATAGTTCCTAAGTATGTCTTGTGCTTCTTTGGAGAGAATGTCGTGCAGTACACTGAATATCTGAACAGCAGGTGCCAAAGCTGGTGCAGCAGAGTCTGTTATGGGGCCAAATAAATCTGACAAGCCTGTTGGAGAATGTTCATCCAGTGACTTGTAATTTTCAAACAGAGCTGCAAGGAGGCTCTTAATCCGATCTTCACAGTCTATCAAAATACTTCTCTGTAACAAAGAACAAAACACCATAACTGATGTGTACTACTGAAACCTGGAATTGTAGAAGGTTCTCATTTTGCCCAGTTTATTTTTTACCAATAAAATGAACATGGACATAATTTGGTAAATATTTTGCCGAGCATTTTTAATATTTGCAATGTTATCTCCGAGTTCTTGGCCTATACATTCAAGCTAACAGACGGTATATACACAGAGCTTGGAAAATACCTCTTGTCTTGTTAAAGTTCTATCTTCCCGTGCTTTTGTGACTGGAACAAGAAGTTCGTATATAAGTTCCAAACAATCCTTGGTTGGTATTGCCACGTTCATGATATAAGACAAGTACCTGTAAAAAGTAATAGACGATGCGATGCTATCATGTACAATTATATTCACCAATCATCATACACAAGCAAAACAATTGTTCACCTCAATTTTCTATATGCATCAGATATTCCATAGTAATCAGAAAACTCATCTAACAGCCAAATCCATGGACCACTGATATGAAGCATTTTGCTGTTGAAATTTTGAGCCCTCATTGCCGCTTCCAGAACCATGTCATATATGATGGTATCCACTGCGGGACCACCTTGCAGCATCTGTTGTAACAATGTTACAAAATGCTTTCTTATAAGAATATAGATGACACAAGGTTAAGACAGTGTCTAATAGATTCCGAGAAAGAAAAGATGAGAATAACAAACCTTTTCGGACCCATAATTGTTGGAAGACATGGATAAGTTCATACAAAGCTGAATTTTTCCCACACAATCATGATCATCAAGATATAGAGGCCACCACCTGATGATTTCATCCTGCTGCTTTTCAAATTTGTGCAAATACAAACTCCTTCAGTGACTACAGAATTATCATGAAACATTTGCACTAAATCATGAATTTGTGTAGACATACTTGAGTATCAGTCAATGATGAAACTTGAATTTTCGAGCGGCCTATGACAACCCTATTGTTGTCTTGTACTTCAACAAGAATAACATCCCCCTGGCTCTCTAGATAACTGAAACATAAGTGATAACAGATGGTTCAAGAACACTATCTGTATAAGTTTTCATAGTTCCAGTGATAGAATGAATATGCAAGTATATCACAGAACAACAGCTAAGGATAGAACTTACAAGAGTTGAGATTCACCAGTCCCTGGCTTCAAATATTGTGGAGAAATTGAATCTCTCTGATGACCTTTGCAAGAACTTTGCAATTCTAGAGTGCATGTGAACATTTCTGAAAGTATGGCACTGTGTTACTGTCGATGTAAATAAACTGTGACTGGGGCTTATAGGAAAACTTAATCTTTCATATTAACCTTCCGGCAAAGATGTAGATGATGTGGATGTCAACATCGTAACCTGGCTCTTCAGAATCTTAGTAATATGTCTGACATACTCACTGCCAGCTTGCATGTAGAGATTTCTAAAGGACGATGTTGCCCGAAGCTTTGGCCTTTGAGGTACAACCCGTATCTTTTTTACTGTTAATAAAAATATGTTAGTGTAAGCTTGCTTTGTTTTTCAAACAATGCGTGAGTAGGCTACAAGTTTACAGTTCTGACATTCCTTAGTGTGATATACTAGTCTTTTTCAGAAGAATTTTCCAATGTAATGTTTCAAGGTGAGTAATGTTTCTTGCTGATGACTGAAAAATATTGCTTATACATACCTTCAATCTCAATCTGTTTAACAAGTTTCCTTCCCTTTATAGTACAACTTCCATCCTTATCATACACTTGTTTACCGTCAACTTGACTATTGTGTTTTGGATGAAGCAAGAAATTCTGTATTCTGTTCATAAAAAAGAGCTCATAAGCTGTGTGCTCAAAGGCAAAAAATGTAGTGAAGTAATGCTAGATCACTTAGAACATGTACTCATGCATAAGCTGTTGCATACCCAAAGGCACTTCGCAGCACCATGCACTCATCCCGAAGGAAGTCTGGAGCTTCCATGCAGTTTCTTGCCCATGCATTCAGACATAGCCTGAAGCATGCATCATATGCAACAAAAGATTGCCATGCATTTTGGACACTGACAAGAGCAAGCAAGCAGTAAGAACAGGAAGCAGACAATAAATCTTCAAAATGTGTAAGGTCAAAGATAAATCAAAACTCACTTAATGGTGAAGCTCGGCATCTGAGCTAATAAGTTATTCTGAACGCCATCTTCATGAACAATTGAGCTGAATTTGCATAATTTCAACAGGCAAAGAACAAATGTTACCCAGATGGCCAGATTTGTCCCAAGCTGTAATAAATACTATAAGTCAGCAATCTACAATTTCGCTTTACCTCGTAGGAAGCTCATGAGCATCTTGGGCCAGTATATCTGCTACTGATGATACTCCATTCCTCTCAAGCCCTCCATCCGTTTCAGCCGTTTCTGTTTGCAATACCATATGAATGCCAATGAAATCACCACTTCCAGGACAAGTTAAATCAAATGAATTACTATTACAAAGTCTCTGATGTTCTTACCAGCTGCATCAAACATGACCTCCTCCTCGCCCCCTGCAATTGGAGGGGCACTAGGAGTCCCCAATACCTGACCCTCAAAGTAGCGTCCCTGTACATAAAAGGGGAACTCGCACGGTTATGCAACTCTGGCTCCTCACTTCTGGTGTTCTATGGACTACTAAGGAATGCTATGTGTTTTCAGGGACAGGTGTCTGACAGATGTTAAGGTGGTGTTGCCCAAAGCAATTGGGAGGCTGAAGAGAGGTAATATTCTTGGAATCAACAGCCAAGACTGACATGGTGGCAAGAGGAACTTCCAGATTCGGCAACCTTGGGTAGGTTTGAGGCATACCCATTGGAGATTGAGTTTGATTGATATGCTGCGCTTGTGACGAGACTGAGTTCAGGACACTATCCCTAGTAGTAAGTACCTGTGAGGTTAATTTTGGGTAATTTTGGTTTTGGCGGGCGCCCTCGAATATGCTTATATGCTAAGAGCGTGAGAACTGTTTGTTTTATAATTCCTAGAAATAAAGCGGGGGAGACATTTTATCTAAACAAAAGTGGATTAACAGAACTGAATAATCGCAATGTTCGTAGCGGAAACAGGAGAATATTATCACCGGTGTCTGGCTACAGAAGAGAAGCCATACCTGCGAGATGGAGTCCACTGGATCTTGTGCCCCGGAACCGGAGCACTTCGCGGCAGCGAACGCGCCCGCCGCTCGCACCTCCACCCGCAGGAACTCCTTGGACTGCCCCCGCACGATCCCGCCGCCGCCGCCCTTCCTGCTCAGCTGCGACGTGACCTCCTCGTCCCACCCTCCGCCGCAGCGGTCCATGGCCCTCCGCTTGAGGCTGGAATCGCTGGAGCACGCCTCGTCGGCGGTCTCGGAGAAGTTGCCGCCGCCGTAGCAGTCCTCGGGCATCCCCCACGACGCGACGCTCTCGTCCTCCCACTCGTCGGAGTCCGCAGCCGAGAGAAGCACGGAGTGGCGGCCGAGCAGGCCCGAGTGACGCGTCCCATTCACCCGCACGGGCGGGAGGCCCTTGGGGGAGAAGAAACCGACGCCTGCGCCGGCCCCGCACGGCCTAGCGTGCACCGCGGGGCTCCTCGGCGGCGCCGCCACCTGCCCCAGCGGCGGGCGCTCCGCCAGCGGCGACCGCGGCGGCGCGTGTGCGGGGGCTGGGGAGTCCGTGCCCTGCTTGATCCAGCTGATCGCCGACTCGTCGAGGCCCTCCGTGAACATCATCTTCGCCGGCAGTCTGCTCAGCTGCGGCGATGTACGGGAGCGGGGTTCCGGTAGAGGATTGTTGAGAATGGGTTTCGCGACTGGGGATCGGCGAATTCAGGGCAGCTGGTTGGAGATCTGGGGATTGGAGAGGGGAAGAGGACAGTAGTCGGGAGGGGGGTAGTAGGAGGTGGAGCAGACCAGGAGTTGGGAGGTAGTGGGGGAAGTGGGGGGTGGCAACGGCTAGTTCCTCGGGCGCGGGTTTGAAGGGATCTACGCTGCACGCTGCTGAGCTGGAAAGCAAAGCCTGGCCTGGGCCGGGCTGGACTCCAGGGCCCACTTTCAGTGTTTGTTAAAAAGTAACTTTTATACCTCTAAATAAACTATCACAGTAGTTTAGGGTTTTCTTCTCAAACTTCAATCCAATAAACTGCATCACTCAATTAATTACTAAAACAGTTTAATTTACCTCTTTGCACCGGTTAAATGGGTTTCAAGAAGGTTTTGTTATTTTAATTAAAAAAATAGTAAAAAAAACTAATAAGGTTTTTAAACCACAAAAAAATATCTCAAAGTTTCTAAAACTTTCAAAAAAATCCTATAGATAGATTGAGACACAAGAAACCCAAATAAACTACTTAAAATCATAAAATATATTTAAATGCTTCCATAAATTAGATTTAGCTCTAGGAGAATAGGAAAAAAATATTTAGAAAATTCTAAAAACAATCTAATAAATGAAGCGTGCTTTAAAAACTTTCCATAACGAGACTAGCATGAATGCATTCACCATTAATGTATATTGCATTCATACTTGGCGCATCTCATATTTTTGTTGCGAAATATTTTAAAAATGCATTTAGTCATTGATTAAAATGCATTTAGACATTTTTAAAATGAATTTGATAAATTAGAATTTATAAAATCTTGTAGACATATTTTCATGAATTCTAAACCCTTTATTTGAGTTTCTCATGCCCCAATCTAGAATTTTTCACTAGCTTAGAGATACTTTTCGTGGTTTTAAGTAGTTTATTTGGGTTTCTCATGTTCCAATCTATCTCTAATTTTTCCCAAAATTTTTACAAGCTTAGAGACTTTTTTATGGTTTAAACCCTTCTTTAAGTGTTTACCGTTATTTTGTTAAACTAGATATATGCCCGTGTGTTTCACGGGTTCACGAATTTTTGTCTACGCCTACGACGATGCATATGGCATGTGGCTTTGATGCCAATGATGCGTTGGGAGGCACATCCATCAACTGTGGGTGCTCGATGTCCTTCCCCTTCGACGTCGCTGACTCTTCCACTTGGTTTAATTTTTTTTTACTCTTTCCATCCTGAAATATATGGTATTAAAGGGTGTTCGAGGTGAATTAACTCCCCAAAACTACAAATAATATGCGTACCTGTCATGCTCGAAATATAGTAAGCAAAAGGTTTGTCTACAGTTAAAGGATGGTTACATGCATAATTTGTTTGCCTCTTAATCTATACTAAATTGCTAGAATACTTATTTGATCCATAATCTTTATCATTTATATTATGCGGATCTATCCTAATAAAATTGGTTTCACTTTTTCCAATTAATACTTGTATGAATTATTATTATGCATTTTACAAGTTTAAGCTGATTTTATTATTTAAAAAATAGTAAATAGAGGTAATAAACGATTTTGTGTTGAGAACCCTAAAGTAATTTCAAATTTATTCAGGCTTTCTCTATTTTTTTAACAATTGACAAGAGGCAGTCCAAAAATTGGAGACGCAAATTTGATCCTAAATTACCTTTTTTTAGGAAATGATCCTAAATTACCTGTACCGCATGCACGTGACTCCACCGAACCAAGGCCTAGCAGGCTAGCAGCCGGTTCGTTTAAATTTTTATTTGGGAGGAGTTGACACGACTCTCGGACTGGGCTGCAGCACCCCAAGCCCAACAAAGCCATGTACTATGTAGAAGACCCGTAGAAGATGCGGTTTAACGTACATAGAGGGTACCGTGGCGCAGGCGCGCGGGGGGGTGTGGGTGGGGGAGGGGGGGTTAGACGATACACTTAGTTATTTTTTGGTGTAGGTGTGTGTAGAATGACAAAACCACCTTAAAAACCACTTATGTAAGGAGGAAGTTTGAACGGTTTTGAAATTCGAGGAGGTAGTTTTCTGATTTTAGAGTTCGAGAAGAAAATTTAGACTATAGCAGTACTTTAGGGAGACAAAATGACATTTTTCCATTAAAAATGGATCAAAGTCGAGCAAAATTACTATAATCTGTTTAGTATGAGTATTAGTATACCCGGCATCCGAGGTATCGCGGGATCAAATTCTTAGCGACGATAGGTTCACTTGGCGAGACTTCAAAAGTTAAATATCACGTCATAACGATAATTGTAGATGATGTAAAGTACTATACCGGGCCTTGTATGCAGCTTATTATATTGTATAAAAGACATGTGACTCGGGTCAAAAGAAACCTTAGTGTCGTTTGGATATTTAGAATTAAAATTCATTCTAATAATTACTATTTAGGCACAAATCAAATAAAATAATATGATTACCTGCTATTATTTGTATATTACTGTCGGTCACATGGGAAAGATAATTATGTGTTTCACTTTTTGTTAAGCGTGCTATAAGTTGCAGAGCACAGATATAGGATGGAGATGTATAGAATTAATCTCTATCTCTCACCCATAAATTTAAGATACGTTTATATCTAAACTTTGGAAAGTGAAATACCGTATCCCCAGACAAATAGCCTACTTCTTAAGGTAGATTTCAATTTCTCCAAAATGAAATGATCCAAACGGGATCAAGATAAGCTACACGAAGAGATTATGATCAATGAATCAGTCATAACTCACTAATCCTACCATAACCACTAGTTCCTTACCATACACTCCGTTATTGTCCATTGTCATAAACAGTACAACACAGAAATTATTCCAAGAGCCTCGTTGGTTAGCATCATCACATACAAGGATAGACTACAGAAAGCGTTGAGTAGTTAGTTGGTGTAAAATAAACCGGAGGTCTACGTCGTACTCTCAATAAGTCCCGCTGCCCACTTATGACCGAGTACGGAGTAGTTGGTGACTTGATCACGATTCTTGAAGGAATAATAATTATATGAGCCTCAATAATTAGTATTTGGTCTGCCTTGTAATGGTAGTAGGAGTAGCTTGGACGTCCTTGTGCTTGCATGCAACTAATCTTCAACATCTTGTTTGCATAAATGATCCATCTAATCGTTTGTTCCGTCCGACTCAAACCGAATCCAAATCACGAGTCACGGGATTATCAGCAGAGCAGTGAGCACATGAAGATAGATAGAAGAAGAAAAGAACAATCCTTCAAGAAAATTAAAAGCGAGCCGTCTCTTCTTTATAAGTATGATGATAAGATAATAATTATAATAATTACAGCATGATGTTTAGTAGTAGGAGTAAACACTGAAATGAAAAGAAAATTAAAGGGAAATTAAGCGCAGCAGCCATGCCCCTGGACTACTCAGTGAAGTGAAGCAAAGGCTTGAGCTTCTTATTACGACATGCTCTGCCGTGCGGCGTATGCGAGATTGCGAGTATGTACAGCGCGTGCGTGCACGCCGCCGATGAGGCGAGTCCACCCGGTCGATCGGTCGACGCGGCGGGTGCTCTGGCCCGGGGCCGTGGGCGGTCAGGAGAGGTAGGTGCCGCAGACGCCGGCGCCGGCGCTGCAGCCGCCGCAGCCGCAGCCCCAGCCGCCCACGAACACAGGCCCGTTGGCGCGCCGGCCGCGCCGCCGCGGCTTCCCTGCTTCGTCCCCGGCGGCGCCTGAGGAGGAGGAGCCGGCCGCCGCGAAGATGACCATGGACAGGAGCGACAGGCACACGATGGCAGCGCAGAACACGACGTCGCCGCCCGCCACCGCGCCCGCGTGGGGCTCGAACACCATGCCGCCGCCGCCGGCCATACCGCCCGCTCGCTCGCTCGCACGCGCCTCTCCGGGAGAATTGTGGCTGCTGCCTGCTGGGTGGGGTGAGGTGGTGCGCACAAGGCAAGGCAAGCGCGAGCGAGCGGATGGAGGCGAGAGCTGCGCGCGGCTTATAAAGGCGAATTGACCGCCTGCCGCGCTGATTAATGCCGTCGGCGGCGGCGACAGGTGACGCACGCGGAAGCTTCCACGCGTGCCGGCCTGCCCCGGCCGGATAAAACCAGGTGCTCCTCCCTCGCGCACTGCGGCACTGGCGATGATTTTCATTCCGGTTTTTAAAAAGATATACTCTATTGTTATAATGTGGTATAAGTATATGCATTTATCTATATAACAATATAAATAAAAGATATATTATAATAGGGTGTACTATACCGCGTGCAGTGGGCCCGCCTGAACCAATAATGGGGTGGCAGGTTCCGTTTAGCTGAATGATAAAGATCGATTTAACCCTAATATTATATAAACGGCCGTTGATTTACTTTTTTTTAGTAATCTCTTTGATTTATTGATCTTGTTAATTCCGCGCGCAAGTCTTCACCGCGCAACAGTCCAGTCCAGTCCAGCACACAGAATTGGTTGAGGCTGCTGGACTCTCCGTCACGGTCAAGCTAGTGCCGGACCACGTAAAACTTGGCGGGGCGTCCAGTCCAGCGTCCTCGCTTTGACGTGTTCCGCTTCCGCGCGCCCGGCCGGTGTAGATTCCCGTGCCCCGTTCCCGTAAAAAAAAAATAGTTGAAATATCCGTTTCGATTGATTTTCGTAAGAGAAAATATTAAAACAAAATGCTACGGGCAACCATACGCGGGCGCCGCGGATGATGCGTGTGCGCGATCCAGATCAGGTCACCGAGCGCGCGGTCTTTGGTTGATTGCAGATTGGCAGGGGCAGCCGAACGGATGGTATGGTTTTGCAGATTGACAGGGCAGCCTGCATGGTCTTTGGTTGACTTGTGCCTGCACTGGGACTGGGAGAGGGACGGGCGGGGCGACAGCGACACGTTTTTCTCCTATCCGACGCTCCTGCAGTCCTGCGGGAACGCTACGGCTTTTGGTTTTGGATGACCACGGGCGTCAAGGTCAATGCTGTGTTCTTTCACACAGCACAAAGGCAGTGCACTAGCTAGTGCGCAGCTTCGATTTCAGAACCCGATTTTTAAGATGTTACGTGCACGAAAGAGAGAGAACAATTTAAAAACACCGTGCTACGTAACAATTTCTTCAGGCTATACAACCCAGCATCTCGATCGGCAGTTCCTTTTTTTTTTAGTAAAGTACACTTGCGGTCCTCAAATTTGTGTGGCTGTGTCATTCCAGTCCCAAAACTCTCAAAACAGCCATTTAAGTCTCTAAACTTTGTTCGGGTGTCAAAATAGTTCAAACAGGTCTAGACAGTGACTTAACGGGCTCGCTGACATGTGGGCCTCCATCTTCCACTTCTCTCCTCTCCATCTCAGGGCAGGCGCAGCCAGGGGTGGGGGCGCCGTGGCAGCGGGGAAGCGTGGCGGCGGCGGCCCGACAGAGGGCGCGCGCGACAGCGGCATGCCGACACGGAGGACGCGTGCGGCATGGAGGCGGCCTTCGCACGGAGAGAGAGGAAGAGACAGTGGGAACCGGAAAAGTTCTAAACCGCTAACTTTGCGTTGGACATTTCTGACCAAAACAGAAGGTTCAATTTTAAACGTTCAACTTAAGTAAGGGCCTGTTTGGATGAGTTTCAGATTTTTTAAAACCAGTTTTTGCCTCTAGTCTTTAAAATCTGGATTCTAAGGAAAAAAAATGGTGGGGGTATTTGGATTCCCATGCATGCGATGCGAGATGCATTCACGGAGAGACGGACTTGAACGGAAGCTCCGTGCAGCCTCCAGGCCACCCGCATGTCGTCCGCTCCTCTGCCTGGTCCGCTGAGGCGCTGACGCTGCAAAGCCACGCATGTTGTCTACTCCGCTGCCGTGTCCGCTCGCCTCCTCTCCGTCGTCGGCGATGGCGTTGGCTTTTTGCGAGGAGTTAGCGTTGGCTTCTTGGCCTGAACGAAGCCACGCATGTTGGCTTCGGCAGCCGGGTGGACGGTGCGTAGTTCCGCTGTGAAGTTGTGTGATGTTGGGTCATCGTGAGCTTGGTGCCGGGTGGATTATTTAAAGGCATATTGTGACGGGAAGATGGGCAGGTGGTGCCGTCGAGCGAGACCTGCGGACTTTCCTCATTCAATTCACGCACCAGGATAGGAAACGGAGGGTCTCCTGAGTTACTAACGCGGAGACGCTTTGGTTCTTTAACTGCGCTTGCTTAATTGAAAGTGATGTACTATTGTGATGACGTGGCTTTACCAAATTGCATAGAAATCTGCTGGCGGGGTGCTTAATTGAAAGTGATGTACTATTGTGATGACGTGGCTTCACCAAATTGCACAGAAATATGCTAACGGGTTTTCTCCTATTTAGGTATAGGAGATAGGAGATTGCCAAAACGGCCCTTCTGGTGGCAGGCATTGTTTTAAGGTGTGGTACGGTGGGATCCCCACGGACGGCGTCAATTGTGGGGTTACTCCGAGCCTCTCACCCTCGCTAGGGACCACGCGGGGAGAGGCCGAGGGTTTTCCACAGGAAGAGTAACGAAAGAGAGTATGTGAAGCGTTGGCATCCCGTAGGGAGAGTGAGAAATAAGTGCGGATTAATTGCTCATTAAATTGCCAAAACGGCCCTGTCCATACATGAGCGCTCCCGGGTATTTATAGCTCACTGCCGGGGCTATAACGAAATTACAAAAGGGTCGGCATAAGACCATCAATGGAGATACAACGGCCAAGGGTAATGAGGTAATCCTCGTACCCCTGGCCAACTACCCTAACCCTAATTGGTGGAGCGGGGCCGGCGGCGACTCCCCTTGAGGGCACTCCCGCGATCTTTTGGCGAACCCTCGCTCCATGGCGCGAGGGTTCCTCCCCCCACCAACAGCCTTGTGCCCTTTCCTCCGGTTGGTGGGCCTTGAACTGAATCTTGCCGGGGGGCACCAGAAAGGGAAGAATGGGGAAAACACCTTCGCCGCGGGGGTTACGGCTCGCCTCGAGGCTGGATATCAGGTCCGTAGCGAAGGTCGGGAGACGGGCGGGGGGTCAAGCTAGGGTCGCCTTCTCCCAACATAGCAGACAGCAAGCAGACATGCCCTTAGTCCCGGTTTTAATACCTTGGAGCGAAGGGTCTAGTTCTGACCTTTGCATTGGGTTTTCATATATACCAGTTTATATGTTTTGCGTTTTTAATACTTTGGAGTGAAGGGCCTAGTTCTGACCTTTGCATTGGGTTTTCATATCTGCCAGTTTACATGTTGTGGAGCGAAGGTTCTGCTTTTCACCTTCGCATTGGCTGCACACAACTGATTTTTTTTCTTTGTTTTCCTTTTATGCAGTATCATCATCAGCAATTGGTATTTTTCCTCACCTTAAGCTCAAAGGATCCTCCGGGATATTATCAGCCAAACAACGCTGGTCATCGGTCCAGCAACTCGGATTAATCCAAAGCAATGGTGAAACAAAACCTGGTGTAGTGGTGTGCGATGTGAGGCCAACGTCAGTAACGGGCTCACTTCCATGACAATCCAATTCGCTTGGCTCAGGTGAAGTAATCAGCAATTCTTTCTTTCTTTCTTTCTTTCTTTCTTTCTTTTTGTGGAGATTGGGGAACTCAGAACTTGAAGGGTCACTCTCTAATTATCCCACCACCACACCATAACTCAGGAGAAGTTCGTCACAAGGGACTTTCAGAAGTACTCGATCGGTTTTCTGGACTCCATCGAACTACTGTGTTTTGCCTCTGGGTCATGGGATTTTTTTTTTCTGTCAGCTCACTAAGCTAGAGAAGGTAAATTATCTACCTAGGGAGATTGATCTTATGCTCCAGTTTTCATCTCACGAAGGCTTGGGTTTCACGTTGTGTCTGTCACTTACTGGCACAAACAAATTTGATAACCAAACGTGCAAGCAGTTCTTACGGTGGTCAATTATTTTAGTTTTAATATCGCGTAGTTAATTTACACAAGTAGAGAACTAATGTCAGAGTCAGGTTACCAGTGCTTTGCCAGCTGGTACACTTTGACATATATATATATATATATATATATATTATTATGGTTGTGATCGCTTTCTATCACCTCCGCAAAATAGCTATTTCTGTTGATTTTATTAGTCGAAGGGCAATATGGTCGTTGCGCACGGCCCTCTCACCCCCCACCCCACCCACCTGCCCCCCCCTCCCTAGACGGCCCGACACCACGCTGAACTCGCTCTCGTCCTCGCAAAGCAGCCGCCGCTTGCGCTTTCTACCTCCTCTAGCTGCTGCCGCCGTCAGCCGTCTGTCAGCCGCCGAGCAGAGGCCCGCTTCATCATTTGCCTCGCCCTCGCCATCCGCTGCTGCCTTAGCCCTTGCTTGCCTTGCGCTGCCGACCGCCCTCGCCCTGGCTTCGTTCTTTGGGATCCCGTGCCTCCTCCTCCTCCCGGCGCCCCGACCGACGTGAGCGGCCCAGCAGAGAGCTCGCCCACTGCGAATATCCTCACCTCGCTGCACATCGGCCTCGTCCTCATCCTCCCCAGACGTCTTGGCTGCAAAGGTCAAGACAACGCCGTAACCGAGGTCGACCATTGGTATTCTGTTGGTATCACGAAGTCGTCACACTAGGTGTGAGATCCTACCTCTCCCTGATTGTCACGGTTGTTGTAGTGCTTCCTGATGTTTGATTTGTTAATGTGTTCCTATTTATTAGTTGTTAGAGCATCTCCAGCAGAACCCCTACTTAAGCTCTCATCCTATTTCTAAGGGCTGAGGAAAAAAAAAACTCAGTCCAGCAGAGCTCCTACTCCGGCTCTCAAGTTTGAGGCGGCCCTCACATCCCCCCTCTAGATCTCATTCTGAGGGGCTCTCTTCCGTTTCTACCGTTGCTGTCGCGCGTTGCTTCGCATCTGCCCCTCTCGCCGCACCCTGACGCCCTTCCTCTGCCCGACTCGACGGAGAAAAAGCCCCCGTGGCCGGAGCTCCTCACCGGAGAAGAAGCTTCCGCGACCGTCATCACCGTCAGAGAAGAAGCCACCACTGGCGTACCTCCTCCATGGCTGCTCGTCAGCCTGCGGCACGGCTCCCCACCCCTCGCCCGTGGCCGGAGAAGAAGCCCCTAGGCCGCTCCTCCCCAACGCCCGCGGCACAGCGCGGCTGCCTGCTCGCCGCCCGCGCAGCTGCTCGTCCACCCGCGGCCTGCTTGCTCGCCGCATCCTCGTCCGTCTCCGGCGCGGATCTACACCCCTCGCCCGTGGCCGGAGAAGAAGGCCCTAGGCTGCTCCTCCCCGACGCCCGCGGCACATCCCTCCCGTCACCCGGAGTCCCCTCCCTCCCGTCACTACTCGACTCGACGCGACTCTAGCGCCTCCGGCGAGATCCGATCTCATTCTTTTGGCCGAGTAAGTCTATGACAATCAGGGCCTACATGTCATTCCCTATTAGAATAAATTTGAGGGCCATAATTTGAGGACCACTGCTGGAGGGCATCTAAACAAACATGGCCCTCAAAAGTAGGAAAACCCACAAATAAAAAGTAGGGGCCCTGTTTTGAGAGCCGTTGCTGGAGTTGCTCTCAGGGGTGATGTTAACTTGGTAGAAAGATAAATAGAGTTGTCTTTGGCTTAGCTAGATCTTGAACAATAGCATCTTTGAACATTAGTGAAGTAGATTTAAACTTCCTTTTTTAAATGTTCAGCGATGCTTTCTTGTACTGAAATCTTTGCCTTGGACTTGGTTAGAAAAATATGACAACTCTATTCACTTGCATTAGCTCATAACAAGATCTATACCTGAATATTCCGTGCTGCTAGCTATGTGCTTGCTTCTGGTAAATGCAAGGAGAAATTGTTATTGCGGGTTAATATTCACTAACTAAAAACAGGCTGCATTATTTGTTTCTTTGCATTTGTAACACTAAGATTTTCTTGTATAAGGATTACTACTAGAGTTTCATTGATTACTAGCTTCTATTCTTCTTTCCCCATGTCAGTAGCTTCTGTCGTTCCCTTTCACAACGCATTCCAACAATCTATTCGTCGTAAGCCCTTCTAGCAGGCTTGACCTACTATACTTGATTGTTTGCATGCCGAAAGAATATTCTATGAGCCTATATTCAAGCAATGTGTGCTCTCGTTAGAGAGTAATAGGCTATCAGCATGGCAGCTTCTAAAAGTGTCTCTTACATTACTCCAGTTGTTGGCAGAAGGCGGCAGTGCCATGCCTTGTGCAGCTCTTAACTGAATAAAAAGAAAAAGATGATATATGTGTTACAGTTTCTAAGTCTAATACTTGGAATGGTATCATATTTCTTAGTTGCTGGTTATCATCTTCGATGTCTTGATGTTTGTCGCTGAAGTTCCCATTTAATTTTTAAAGAACACATACCAATGATTGGCAGGAAGCATTGCAGCAATGCATATATACAGTCCTATTGCAGAGCAAAAGCATGTTCCTATATCCCAGTCTGGAGATAACTAGTTAAATAACATGCATCTTCGTGATCATGGAAAGAGCTGGGCATAACCATTCGACCTGATAACTAAGCTTATATAATATAATCTTTGTTGGGATTGCAGTAATTTTTTGATCCTTACTATTTGTACTGGTTTATAGTCAGCACTAGTACTGTGACTTTAGTCTTGGACCTTGATTATTTAAGCTGCATTGACTTTTTTTTTTTGTGTAGGCTTGGTTGGGAAATTTTTCCTTGCTACTGTGATGACGCTCTTTGTGATGGAGTTGTTAACTGGGGTCAGTCATTTCTTTTTCTGTACTGATGATTGCTTGTAGGCAAAGAACCTGTTCAGTGTCGAAATAAATTGCAAGCAAAAAGAGTAAAAAAACTTTCAACATTTGTGCATGAGATATCTTGTAGGATGATGCAACTATTTTCGCGTGGCATGCTTATGTATTTTTTTTTTGAATTGAAAATGTTAACATGGACATGAGGCTTTCTGCTGGGCCGCTACGGCCATGTCTTTCTTCAATTTCTCTAATTTGTTCTGTGGAATTTTAATTTGTTTATTGTTGCTGATTGATGCAGGAGGAAATGCCGGATCTTGTTTCTTTGCTAGAGTACAATGAAATTGTTAGGAAGATGTTTGGTAATGAAGAAGGATTTCAGTTTTATAACAACTACGCTAAGGAGAAAGGATTTAGTGTGAGGAGAAGCTACTGTGAGTGGGACAATGGCCACAATGAGATGACCCTTCGGAAGTTTGTTTGCAATCGTGAAGGTTTCCGCGAAGAAAAGGAGTTGAAGAGGGAGATTAATAAGCGGAAGCAGCGGAATATTTCTCGTGTTGGATCCCATGCATGTGCCTGGCAGAGGGGCCCCGAAGAAAAAGTTGAAGTCAGTTTCAAATAAGAAGAAATCTAAGGTGAAATGTACCCTGTGTAAGGGTGAGGGTCACAATCGGCGAACATGCTCCATGAGAAAAGAGGTAGTTAAGAGTAATGTTCATCAAAACTGAAAACTGGCTGTCTGTGAGGCATGTGTAGTTATTACTAATGTTCCTCTTCATTTGTAGGAAACAAAGCTCCCTGAGGATGTGCTGGATATATGATTTGCCAAGGATCTGCTTGCTGTTGCATAATAGGTACGCTGGTGCATAACTCATTTAAAGTGATGCTTGTGTTGTTAACTATTTCATTAGATAACAGGCAGATAACTTGTATGAAACCAAAGGATTATGCCGTATGAGTAGCTTTGGAAATTCTTGTTTATTTTATTCTATTTCAAATGATTTTATGTCCATCAGGCCGTGGCATTCATTTTTTTTATTACTTCCAGCATGCATGCTTCATTCTTTCCTGGTAACATTTGATAATTTATTCATTTAGCCAAAAACTCAAAGAATCTTCTGATTAATAATTGAATAAAAGTCTTGCTGAAGTATGCCGCAGAAGTCAGAATTTGTGTCCTTCTGGGAAAGCTCTTCTGCTAAGTTTGTTATTTGGATGCATGAACCACAACAATGGCAGATGACCTCTTATATCAGTCCACTGTTTTAGAATTTATTACTAGTTTATGCTATTGGGCTGTTGATAAAATTATATGGTCTGATCTTCTCCTGCATATTTCTCTCCCATGGTCCCACCAACAAGTTTTCTCAGTTTAGTTAATAAACTAATGACTCATTAAATGTGGAGAGTATCTTTCAAGCGGCACTACTATTTATTTTGATAACCAGGTCATCTGACATGTCCCATGCATAATGTTGGGTCTTATAAGGTCTTAGAATAAAAATAGCTGTCGCTATATGCTTTTCCATTGAGAATTCATCAGTGTCAAAATCTAGATTCTGTTTTTTTTTATTTTATTTTTCCCTTTACTGAACCAGAACCTGCAGGCAAGTCCCCACATTTAGTTTTCAATCTTATTTACAGTGCTTGTTAGCTGTCTTTAACAGATGGGTAGTGCTTGTTTCCTCAGCTTGAGTGCTCTGCCGATGGACACAAATTCTGTGGCTTGCATAAAAGTCTTGCTGAAGTATGCCGATTGCTGAAGTATGCCGCAGAAGTCAGAGAACAACCAGATAGCAGTGGGCATTGCCTTTCTGCATTTTAGCAAAATTTTGATCGTTTATTCAGTAGCTTGCAGTAGTTGATTTCATTAGAACAATATCCTCTTTGAGAAAATGCAGAAGATGTAGGAAGTAGGGGCAGCTGTTCTTTTTTTTTGTTAGTTTCCTGTTAGAGTTGACTGAAAGAAGCTAGAAGATTCAGGGAGAGGTGGTCTATGTGTTTCATTTTTATTTATGCCGTATATCAGATGGAACCCTTTAATATTCTTTGTTACTCTGTTTGAATGTTCAAACCTGTACGTATGTTTGAAATCTCCACTTGGTCTATATATATGAATGAGCGACCTGTACGTATGTCACTTGATTCAAATTGGTCACCCACCTGTCCACGTCCTGTAAAATACATGTGCCAACTGCCAACATACAGCAAACTTTTTCGAGAATTGTCAGAAATCTTGGTCATTCTAAATACTCTGTAACCACGTCACAAAAGTACATTCGAGCAATTCACGGAAACGCTGCAAAACATTTACTCTTTAGATCCCAAGCCGTTGAGCATTCTAAAAAAACGAAATAAATTGCAATACAGAAGATTCAACAGAATGGAGCTTAATGTGGCGGTGCAGACACTAAGCTTTGTCCAGTGCAGCTACTCCTGGGAGCTCCTTCGCTTCCAGCAACTCCAAACTTGCACCACCCCCAGTTGAAATGTGGCTCATAGAGTCAGCGACGCCTGCCTTCTCAACAGCTGCAGCGGAGTCTCCACCACCAATTATTGTAGTGACGCCCTTGCCACTAAGCTCGGCTAACTTCTTTGCAATTGCCTAAAGAAGAGAATTCATGGTCAAGTTTCTTTACACAATTTCCTCAAAAGTGTCAATAACAGAAACAATGGCATCACATAGCATTACCTTGGTTCCAACTGCAAACTTGTCAAATTCGAAAACTCCCATGGGTCCATTCCAAATGACTGTCTGAGTAGTTTCCAGGGCAGAACTGAATGCCGAAATTGAATCTGGACCTATGTCCAGACCCATCCATGCATCAGGAATTGCAGATGCAGGAACAACCTGAAGAGCAATCTCATGTTCAGACCATCACTGCGTGCATACAATGATACAAGAGCAGCTGTTTTTTCTATAGTTGCATGCATGCCTTGATAATACTACTAGAAATAAAAATGTAACCAACCTGACTGCTAGCATCAGGAGCAAACTTATCAGCGATGACCTGACTGCTTGGCGAAGAAGTGTCATCTTGAATTCTGATGACTTATGTGCCTGACTTATGTACCATTGAATGCCCATGACAAGGTAGTACCTAGTCTTGCTCATTTTGGAAGAATTTCTGCTTTCTTTTCCTGAATTAAGCAATGTGATCAGTCATCTAAACAATTAGCGCAATTTGTGGTTATCTAATTGACTGAAAAGTACTTGCCCATTTCATCCATGCATTACAGAGAACAAAAGGGACTGATAAAACATATGGAAGAACCAAAGGACAACTTATAGTAGAGAAGCATAGCCAGCACCACAGCATCATGAGTGCTGCACAAAATGTTACCCTTAACTATCTCCAAAATTAGAGGCAACCACAAAGTACGACCTCCGTGAACTACTTTTTCAGAATGTGGCCCACCAGAAAAGACACCAGCAGTCCTAGCAGAAAAGACACCAGCAGTCCTATGACACAAAAAACAACAGTCCATGCCTTGTTCTTGTCTTCACTTTGTTCCTTGGCCCTTATCTCGTTAATCCGGCAGATAAGGTAGGCAATGGCCTTCAATCTACCCACACGCCTCACGTGATCGTCATTAAGCTCCTCCAAGGCCTCTTCATGCATGGCACGAGCTTGCCGAAGGGATTCTTCAGCCTCCTTGCACCGACTCCTGTAATGCTTTGCTTTCTTGGTAAACCAACTGAGAGCTTCCTGAGCCATGGGTGGCCACTCATCGTCAACCCAGTCCACAAAGTTGATCACCTGTGTACAACAACCAAAGAGGTATTGCTCAATGTCATGGCACAGTGCACACAATTACAAAACAACAGCCCAGTTAGAAATAACGTTTCAGGAGCTAAGTCATCTTCTTCCTTTCCCCTCTGTTTGTTTTAGATCGGCTCAAAACAACAGCCCAGTTAGAAATAACGTTTCAGGAGCTAAGTCATCTTCTTCCTTTCAGAAGCTAAGTCATCTGCCATTCATCAGAATAATAGTTCACATTAAGAATAAATAATTTTTGACTCCTGCCTAGAAACTTCTATGGCTTGTTTGTTCAAGTTTTATCCAACATAACATTTTTTTTTTCTCGAACACACTCAGGAAAACTGCAGAAGGATTTTTTTCCACTCCATATCACAAGCATGGTTGGAGAAACAAAGTAAAACAGAAACAACATTTTTCCTGAGCGCTGGAAAATGATCTCCAACCTTGATCCTAGATGCAGCAAGGGTGCCTGGATTCACAGATTGTAAAATTTTCGATCCTGTGTCAAAGTAATTTTCAATCTATAGATGATCATGGACACTACAAATTGCATACATAAAAATTCATTAGAGTCGTGCAAAGTGAGGAAACAGAGACCTAAAATCTACTCACATGGAAGGCAGACAGTAATAGTTTTTTCATTTACATGGAGGGCTGACAGTAATAGCTTTTTCACTTACGTGCAAGGCTTAATGAACGGTAATAGTTGCTGTTGGCAAATCTCCAACGGGGCTTGCATGTTAATGCACAAATTCATTATATATGCAAAGTAAGATTAGGCAAGTTAACATCTGGTTAAGAACATGTTCTACCACTACATCAACTGGCTGAAGTTCAAAAACAGCACGGGAAAGAGCGAGAGAGAGGGCGGGAGGGGCACCGACGGATTGCTCACCTCGCTGCGAAAGTCGTGGAGGGGTTCTCGACGCCGGTGACGCGGTGAAGGCAGAGATCGGCGGCGGCGGCGGGTCGAGCTCCGGGCGGCGGCTATGGCGGCGCACGGGCTAGGGCTCGGGGCGGCTCCTTTAGGGTTCAATGGGGGCAGCGCGGTGCTCTGGGCCTACTCTTTATAGGCGCGGGGAACCTCTTTTTTTTTGTGACTTGGCGCGGGGAACCTCGGGGGGGCGTTCGAGGGGATCGGCGGTGGCTTCGCCCGGTTGATCTGTGTGGCGCAAGGGGAAGAAGAAATGGTCGTGTGGCGTGGGCCTAGCGGCGTCTTGCGCGCTGACGCTATTGAAGCGAGGAGGGAGAGCCAGGCCATGCTGGGCCAAGGCGGGTACTGGGCTGCATGAAATGTGTTTTAGAAGATTTTTAAACCAAAATTTGATTCATATTTTGAGATTATTTTTGGAATGTGTTCTAGATTATTTTGAAAGTGTTTTAGACTATTTTTAAACCCTAAACCAAAATTTTGAAAATTATTAAATCTTTTATTTTATTTAGTGTTTTCTATTCACAACCCAAAATAGGAATTTTGGGGTGTGACATGTATTATGTTGCACGCTACATGCAAATCGCGTACATGTTAAACACGTCTCACACGCTATGTAAATCACGCTAACACGCCACCAACAATTACAAACAATAATATGTCGCACGCACTTCAGCACATGTTTTTTACTTACACATGACGTATCCCGTCATCGAACACGTAACACACATAGTTATTTGGGTGTACCGCAGCAAAGCTCGTCATATTTTGCTTTCCTACTATGCTTATATGGTACATTACCATACGGTTCACTTGTTAACACGTGGTTAGAGTGGTCGGTTCAACTTATTATCATGTTTTAGGCATATTAGTCCACTTAGACGAGCCATGAGAGTGTAGGTTGAGTTGCTATCGTGCTAGGACTACGAGTACACTCAGACGAGACATGAGAGTGATCGGTTGACTTTCTTATCGTGTTATCCTATTAGTCCACTCAAAATGCACGTGAGAGTGGCGGCTTAGTTTCTATCATGTTAAGGCAATTGGTTCACTGTGGCGAGACATGAGAATGATAAGTTCACCTCCTTTCATGTTAGGCCTATTAGTCCACTCAGACGAGCCACAA